CGCACCTGCGCTTATAATAAAACATGTTTTTTCAGGGGGGTGCGCTTATAATTCAGTAAAATATAAGCGCATGCGCTTATAAAATAACAAATATACAATTTTAAATTACTAGCACGAAAATGTAGTTCGCGTCATTGCGCACCCAATCGCGTCGATTTGAAATAGGGTTGTGGGTGAAAATCTCTCGCTACTTGGCAGGGAAAGATTCCTTGCCAGCACATACACTAAAAATGAGTCACTAGGCGCTTCTGACAGCACATGCTGACTGGACGCGCACCCTGCAGGGTTTGAATGCGAAGGAAATTCGATTTTCAAGTCATCAGCTTGCTAAAGCGAGCCTCGGTACAGTAACTTGACAGTTTTTCAAATTTAAAACTAACATGCGCTTATAATATATCACGTTTTTTAAGGGGGTGCGCTTATAATTGAGGATCGGCCATAAGTGCATTGCTCCAGATAGAAGCGCATGCGCTTTTAATAGGCATGCAGTTATATCCGGGGCGATACGGTACCTGTTTTTATGCCCCTCACTTAGCCTATGGGGTGTGTCAAACTATGTTTGTAGATTTATATATGCTATAGTGGGTTGGATGTTAGGGGGTACAAAACTTTCTCGACACTTTGGTTGTATCCCTCCCTTTGACCTAGTATTATCATTCTCTCGCTACTCAAGCAAGTAGGTTCTTAAAGCCCGGGTACAGCATGGTAATTATCAAGTTCAAGATTCTTGAATTTGAAATCGTCAAAAACAGGCATTGCTCTGTTTTTCTATGTCCCGTTAGACTCGAGCTGATTCAGTGGTGAGGAGACTTCTGGTGGAGCCACACTATGCATGCCCGATGCAAGAGAGGATGTGTGCGACAAATTGGTCGCTGAGAGCGGGTGAGATTCGCAGGTTTGGTGAGTGCAAAACATTCACTTGTTTGCGGAGGAAATGTGTTCTCGCCAAAGGCAGCAGGCCGAAATAGGTTTCGCGGATCTCGCATACAGCCTATTTCAAATCCACATAACTTGATAATTTACCATGCTGACCCCGGGCTTTAAGAACAGGCTACAACATTTGAAAGTTGGATTGTGTAGACTTATATGCGTATCGAATGTTGTAAAAATAATAATTGATTAATATATTGATAATAGAAAATATTACAAAAGAAGATATAGCTAGGCGAAAGTACATGTTCACTAATGTACCTGTTCAATCATGTAAGTAATCGGACTGTACATTTTTGCGACTGTAAAGCCATATTCGCTTACGTCATCATTTCTAGTGAAGTGATACTCGTACAAACTTGACTCGCTAGTGTATCTAAAACACTATAAAACACAACTTTTAGGACTTAGTAATTTCTTGAAATATAAAACACTATTTTTATATCAACACTTTGGACCATATGTTTCTATGTGCTTTCTCGTGTCCTCAGATTACCAATATAGGAATTCCTGATTCCGCTGCAGTAGCTTCACTCAGGCCTACAGTACCGTTAATTTTTTTTTTCTACCGAGTGTTAGGCGATCTCATGCTTGTTCGTTCCATTGCAAACGGAACATATATCTTTTGTGTGACTGTATCGTTGTGAAATGGACTTGTAGGATTTAGCTTGTATACGACCAGATCGGCGGGTAACGAGCACGGAAGGCTTTTGTGTACGCGGTAGGGACGGTGGCGTTTCTGTGATGGAGCCAGATGTTTCCAATAACTAGCAAGGTTGATTTGCTTGGCAGGCTGACCTAGAATCCAGCCCTTCCGAATGTTCCTGTCATTGTGGTCTGTTTTCATGGATCATCCACCTCAGCAAAGCTTCTGGTACACGTGGCTGTCCCATGTGTCCCGTTTTTGGGGTTCCCCACGATATTATCGCACCCCAGACCAATTTCTTTTTCTCGGAGTAATTCGTATTCTCTCAAATGCTGCTGTTGTAGAAAATTTCACGCTTTCCATTACTAAATCTTAATACCCACAACATCCAGAAGAAGGGCTGGCTTGACGAACCAAAGTAGTTTTTGGGGTTTTTGACGTTGAACGAGGTCACAAATGTACGAGCCTGAACATAACAAGAATCATTGTGCGGAAGGCGGATCTGGTGGGTATTTTTCCAGAGAACACTCTCCAAGATTGGGCGTGAACTGCCATGTTCAACAGGACACCATTCCCCCCCCCTCCCTCTTGCTTGGAGAACGCTCGCTTCCCTTGCAATTGCCACCGCTGCTTGCACACTTGGTGGTACTCATGTGATTCGCGAAAGATTTACGAGCATCACGACCTGCTCGTAACAGAATTCGGTAACCTAGTCAGGACACAGAATGGCTCGCGAAGAAGCCAACTTGGGAAGCTGGCAAGGTTGGAAGTCAACCTGATCAAGCCACCAAGCTGCGTGTGCAAAGTAGAGCTCTCGCCTGGAAATAGTAGGTCCAAGACAAAGCGGCATACAGCTGGGCATCGGTAGTGTTGACCATTTAGGGTTTCATATCTAGTCGGACCGTACGTTAGTCAGATTCGATTGTTTTCACCCCTTCCATAATGGCCAAAGCGGTAACGGTCCGAGCGGGCGAAGCGACAGGTGGCGACGGAGACGTGGGAGTAAGCGACGAATTCACAAAAACGAGTTCTGCATTGCCAGCGGCAGTCGCAGCAGAAGCAACAGCAGTCGGAGTGGAAGCAGCCGTAGGAGCCTCGACACGAGGAGCAGGCGATGACGGGATGGCTGAAGGAGGCAGGGTAGGACCATCTGTAGCAGGCAGCGAAGGCGCAGCTGTAGCAGCAGTAGGGCCATCAACGGGCAGCGATGGCTCAGATCCGAGCAGGCACACACCGTGCGACCAGGGGACTCGTCGCACGAGGTGTCGCGACGCAGCGAGGAAGTGGGATTTTCGCAGCAACGACAGCCGCGGTAGAAGCTCGTCACAGGGCTTAGAGAGTAAGGCTGGGAGTCAGCAGTGCAAGGGAAGGAGCGGGGAAGGAGGGATGGGGGGAGGCGCAGGGCCAAAGCAGTCTGGGCAGGCGACTAGCACCAAAGCACCGGTTAGCACCAAAGCATTGACTACTACTAGCTTCAAGGCTCCCACGAGCACCAGCGCATCGCCTAGCACCGCCAAGGCAGCGCCGCTTCTGGGCCGGCCGTCAGGCCCCTCGCGCGTTCCCGCTGTCTCCCTGCACGAGTGCCCTGTCTTCCACCCGTCGCCCGAGGATTTCGCCGACCCCTTGCGATTCATCGCACGCGTTCGCCCGATCGCAGAGCCGTGCGGCATGTGTCGCATAGTCCCCCCGCCTGGCTGGGATCCGCCGTTCGCGCTGGACCGCGCCAAGTTCCGCTTCCGCACCAAGGTGCAGGCGCTCCACCAGCTGCAGCGCCGCCCCGCGCCTGCCGACCCCGCCACCTTTGCGCTCGACTACCTCCGCTTCCTCGCCGATCTCCGCCTCGCGCCCCCGCCCGCGCTGCAGCGCGCACTTGCGCGCGCGGGGATGGGGGCGGGGAAGAAGGGGGTTTCGGCGGAGGACAGGGCGGTGGTGGCGGCGGAAGCCATGCGCGCGGGCGCGGTGGACATCTGCGCGCTGTTCCACGCCGTGCAGCGGCGGGGAGGTTTTGCGCGCGTGAGCGAGAGCAGGGCGTGGGGGGACGTGCTGCGGTCGGTGCTGCAGGGCGGGACGGGCGCGGGGGAGGGGGAAGGGGCGGGGAAGCGGACGAGCATGGACGCGGGGGGGCTGAAGGCGGTTTACCGGCGGTGGCGGCTGGACGAGCTGGAGGCGTGGCGAGAGGCGGGCGCGGGCAAGGCGCAGGGGGACGATGGGCGCAACGAGGCGCACGGGGAAGCGGGATCTGCGCCAGATGGGAAACGGAAACGACAAGAAAAGGATGCGGAGGGGGAAAGAGGCAGCAAGTCACAGAAACGAAGCGATGGCAGCAGCAGCGGTGAGCTGAGTGCTGGGGAGGCTGGCGGGAGATCTAGCAGCCATTGGCGCGCAGCTAAGGCCGTGAGGTACCGGCAAGGCGAGTCAGGAGGGGAGGAGGAGGGGGAGGGGGAAGGGGAAGGCGATGCGGAGGGCGATGGGGGGGAGTCAGAGGGCGCTGATGGCTCTGACTCGGACAGTGAGGACGCGGCAGCGGATGCGGTGTGTGAGAGGTGCAAAGGAGGCGGGCACGAGGAGCAGATGCTGCTGTGTGACCGCTGTGACCGCGGCTGGCACCTCTTCTGCCTCTCTCCACCGCTCTCCACCGTGCCGCCCGGCACGTGGTTCTGCCAGGACTGTGTGGCCCGCCCGCACGACACCTTTGGCTTCACATCCGGCGGCAGCATCTCCATCGCCGCCCTGCAGCGCGCCGACCGCACGCTGCGCGAGCGTCTCTTCGGCACAAAACTGGGCGGCAATCTCACGCCAGCACAGCTGGAGGAGGCCTTTTGGCGGGTAGTGGACGGGGCGGCAGGCCCGGTGGAGACCCTCTATGGCAGCGATATCGACACCGGCGCCTGCGGCAGCGGGTTCCCCAGGAGAGGGGAACCCGTGCCAGCGCATGCGGTGCAGAGCGGTGTGAGTGAGGCGCGGTGGCGGGAGTACGCGGAGGCGCGGTGGAATGTGAACAACATGGCACGGGATGCGGCGTCGGTGCTGCGGTATGTGGAGGACGCGATCCCGGGGGTGATAGTGCCGTGGCTGTACATGGGCATGACCATGAGCGCCTTCTGCTGGCACTTCGAGGACCACTGCTTCTACTCCATCAACTACCTCCACTGGTGCGCGCCTTCCCTCATCGGCTTCTTCCCTCATCGGCTTCTTAGCTCCCCGCGCTGCTGGGAACCCCGTTTCCTCATGCTTCCCTCTCCTTTCACATTGCTGCCCAGGGACCAGCCTGTGCCTGCACGGCTGCGCCCACCTCCATTCTACTCGCTCCCGCCTGTGCCCTCTTCTGACCACCCTTTCTCACCAGTGACCCCCCTTCCCACTCTCCCCTCCTTTTCCCCGCTCTCTCCTTGTGTGTGCTTCCTGGACTTCTGGGTGGTGGCAGGGGCGAGCCGAAGCTGTGGTACGGCGTGCCGGGGCATGCAGCAGAGGCCTTCGAGCAGGTGCGCATTGTGTGCTGTGCACTGTGTAATGAGAGTGGTGTGGTGTGAATGAATACACGTGTGGGCAGGTCGCTCATGCCATAAGCCGCCACATCCCTCTCTCTCTCTCCTCATTCCTTCTAACACTCCGCTCTCCCGCCCTCATCCCATCCCCATCCCCATCCATTTCACCCTTTCCATTCCCATCATCACCTCCCACACACTTCTCCTCACTGTCTCCCTCTGTATGCCCTTCTGTCGCCCAACCTGCTACCGCACCACCAGGTCATGCGGGCGGCTTTCCCGGACCTGTTTGAGGCGCAGCCGGACCTGCTCTTCCAGCTGGTAACCATGTTACACCCCATGGCGCTGCAGCGAGCGGGTGTGCCCATCTTCCGCACCGTGCAGGCCGCGCGCGAGTTTGTCGTCACCTTCCCGCGCTCCTACCATGCTGGCTTCAACCAAGGCACGTTCTTGCTCCCCTGCTCCTTCTTCCGTCTATCTCTCTGTTCCTCCCTACTCCCTCCTCCCCGTCACACGTACAGACCCCCTGTCACCTTTCCACACTCCTACCGCGCAGGCTTCAACCAAGGCAGGTTCTTCCTCCTCTCCTGCCTCTCCGTAACACATGCAGCATCTCAGCTGTGCCGTCGAATGCTTGTCGCAACACACACACACCCCTCACCCCTCACCCCTCACCTGGCCACTGTCCCACTCGCCTCCTCTCCCCTCGCTCGCAGGGGTGAACTGTGCAGAGGCGGTCAACTTTGCGCCGTGCGACTGGCTGCCGTGGGGGGCGCTCAGTGTGGAGCGCTACCGGCTGTTCCGCCGCAAGTCCATCCTCTCACATGAGGAGATGCTGTGTGTGCTGCTGCTGGTGAGGCGAGATGCTGTGAGTGCTGCTCATGGTGAGACGAGATGCTGTGTGTGCTGCTCATGGTGAGACGAGATGCTGTGTGTGCTGCTCATGGTGAGACGAGATGCTGTGTGTGCTGCTGCTGGTGAGGCGAGATGCTGTGAGTGCTGCTCATGGTGAGACGAGATGCTGTGTGTGCTGCTCATGGTGAGACGAGATGCTGTGTGTGCTGCTCATGGTGAGACGAGATGCTGTGAGTGCTGCTCATGGTGAGACGAGATGCTGTGTGTGCTGCTCATGGTGAGACGAGATGCTGTGAGTGCTGCTCATGGTGAGACGAGATGCTGTGTGTGCTGCTCATGGTGAGACGAGATGCTGTGTGTGCTGCTCATGGTGAGACGAGATGCTGTGAGTGCTGCTCATGGTGAGACGAGATGCTGTGAGTGCTGCTCATGGTGAGACGAGATGCTGTGTGTGCTGCTCATGGTGAGACGAGATGCTGTGTGTGCTGCTCATGGTGAGACGAGATGCTGTGAGTGCTGCTCATGGTGAGACGAGATGCTGTGTGTGCTGCTCATGGTGAGAGGAGATGCTGTGAGTGTTGCTCATGGTGAGACGAGATGCTGTGAGTGCTGCTCATGGTGAGACGAGATGCTGTGTGTGCTGCTCATGGTGAGACGAGATGCTGTGAGTGCTGCTCATGGTGAGACGAGATGCTGTGTGTGCTGCTCATGGTGAGAGGAGTTGCTGTGTGTTCTTCTTATGGTGAGACGAGATCTATTAATGTCATTCTATCAGTTCACTCCTCTCTGCTCCTCACGTCCCCTTTCTTTTCCTCTCCTCCCCTCGACTCTCCTCCTCTCCTTCTCACCACCTCTCCCCTCTCAGCTCTCATCTCTTTCCCCTCCCCTCCTTCCCCTTCCTTTCTGTCGGCCACCAGAACCAGCAGCGGGGGCTGCTGGTGGGGGAGAGGCAGGTGGCGGGGGCGGAGGTGCGGAGGGTGGTGGAGGGGGAGAGGCGGGCGAGGGACGTGGTGTGGGCGCAGGGCACAGTGAGGAGCGCACGCATGGCGCCCCATGCGCGCCCCCATGCCATCACCGACGAGGAGGTACTGTTCATGGCTCCTGAGAGGTACTGTTCATGGCTCCTGAGAGGTACTGTTCATGGCTCCTGAGAGGTACTGTTCATGGCTCCTGAGAGGTACTGTTCATGGCTCCTGAGAGGTACTGTTCATGGCTCCTGAGAGGTACTGTTCATGGCTCCTGAGAGGTACTGTTCATGGCTCCTGAGAGGTACTGTTCATGGCTCCTGAGAGGTACTGTTCATGGCTCCTGAGAGGTACTGTTCATGGCTCCTGAGAGGTACTGTTCATGGCTCCTGAGAGGTACTGTTCATGGCTCCTGAGAGGTACTGTTCATGGCTCCTGAGAGGTACTGTTCATGGCTCCTGAGAGGTACTGTTCATGGCTCCTGAGAGGTACTGTTCATGGCTCCTGAGAGGTACTGTTCATGGCTCCTGAGAGGTACTGTTCATGGCTCCTGAGAGGTACTGTTCATGGCTCCTGAGAGGTACTGTTCATGGCTCCTGAGAGGTACTGTTCATGGCTCCTGAGAGGTACTGTTCATGGCTCCTGAGAGGTACTGTTCATGGCTCCTGAGAGGTACTGTTCATGGCTCCTGAGAGGTACTGTTCATGGCTCCTGAGATGTACTGTTCATGGCTCCTGAGATGTAATGTTCATGGCTCCTGAGAGGTACTGTTCATGGCTCCTGAGAGGTACTGTTCATGGCTCCTGAGATGTACAGTTCATGGCTCCTGAGAGGCACAGTTCATGGCTCCTGAGAGGTACAGTTCATGGCTCCTGAGAGGTACAGTTCATGGCTCCTGAGAGGTACAGTTCATGGCTCCTGAGAGGTACTGTTCGTGGCTCCTGAGAGGTACTGTTCTTGCCTTTGGAAAGCACTGTCCTCCGTATTTTTCTGCTTCCTCTCTTGCCCCATCCCCCTGCCTCTCGCCCTCCTCCTCTCTGCCCCCGTGCATGCTCCCCACCACCACCCTGCGCGCGGCCCTGCCCCTCTCAGCAGGACAGGGAGTGCCTCATCTGCCGCTACTACCTCTTCCTCTCAGCTGTCGTCTGCCCCTGCCGCCCTCACGATGCCGTGTGCCTGCACGTGAGTGCTGCTGCTGTGTTACCCGTGCTGTCTTTTATGCAAGCATCGTCCTTCATTTCCCACTGTGCACATGCCCTTCACTTCTCACTTGCCTCAACTCCTCTTCTCCTCATCCCCCCATTTCGCTGTCCCACTCTCACCCTCTCCCTATCCCCCCTATCCCCCTGTCCCCCTCACCCCTCCTCCCCCCCATGGCAGCACGCCTGTCAGCTGTGTGACTGCCCGCCTGCGCGCCGCACGCTGCTGTACCGCCTCTCCCTCGCGGAGCTCGAAGACCTGCTGCTTGCTGCAGGGGATGGCCGCCGTGAGGGGCGAGGCGAGGGGCGGGCAGAGGGTGGCAACGGGGGGAGCGAGAGTAGTGGAGAGGGGCAGAGCGAGGGGCGGGAGGGGAGTGGAGGGGAGGGGGGTGTGGGTGATGGACGGGGGAAAGCAGCAGTGGAGGAGGTGGTGGTGAAGGCCGAGTGCAGCAGGGCAGCAGCGGGAGGCAGCAGCAGCAGCAGTGGCAAGCAAGCAGGGGAACATGCGAGCGGGCATGTAGGCGGGCACACGGGCGGGCATGCGAGCAGCAGCGCCCCGCGTGCGCCCATCACGTACTCTCGCCGCGCCAGCGCTGCTGCTGTGGGCAGCCCGCCCGTGTGCGGGCTGACCAGCATTGGCGTGAAGGTGCTCGCCGGGGGGTACGGGGGGGGGAGGGATGTGAAGAAGGAAGCGAAAGGCGTTGGAGGGGGAGCAGGGGGTGGCGTTGGGGGTGAGGGTGAGGATTCCGTGCAAAGCAAGGGCAGTGGTGGTGATGGTGAGGCGAATGGCGATGGTGGTGTTGCTGGTAGTGGTGCTGCAGCGTGCGGCAGTGACACTCGTGCTGACCTTGCTGCCGCCATGCCATGCCGTGACAACCGGGCATCTGCTGGCGTGGACCAATCAGCACAGCCTTCTTCCGGTGAGGCGGGCATGCGTGAGGGGCAGGTGGAGGGGCGCATGGAAGGGAGCGTGGAGGGGGGTGTCAAGAGACGCGTTGGTGTGATTGTGAAGCAAGAAGGGATGGAGGGTGATGGGAGCAGTAGTGATGGTTTGGTGGAGGCAGCAAGCAAGGGGGGCGTGGAGGAGGCGGTGAGCAAGGGGGGCGTGGAGGAGGCGGTGAGCAAGGGGGGCGTGGAGGAGGCGGTGAGCAAGGAACCGGGAGGAGAAGACGGGGAGAGGGAAGGAAAAGGAGTCGAGGGAGACGGAGAAGGACAAGGGGAAACAGGGCAGTGCGAGGGAGAGAGCAGTGGTGTGCGACGAAGCAGCCGCCGAGCCGCCGCTGCTGCCGCCGCTGCTGCTGCAGCAGTAGCAGGTGCAGAAGAAGGTGAGGAGAGCGTGAAGGAGGAGCAGAGCAGCCATGCTGCTGGCAGTGGGAGAGTGGCAGGGGGCGAGAAGAGGCAGGCAGGGAAAGGAACAGCTGAGGGGCACAGGAGTGCGGAGGTGGAGATGGTAGAGTGGATGCGGGGCAGGGCTGTAGGGGGGAGCAGGGGTGGGGGCCAGATGGTGCAGGCGGAGGAGTTTTTGGACAAGTGTCGGGCGGGCAGTGGAGGAGGGTGGGTGGCGCAGCAGCGGCGGGTGCGGGGGCGCATGATGACGCATAGCGAGTGGGCGGCGCAGTGGGCGTCACGAGGCAAGGTGGCGCTGCGGTCGCCGCCCACAGTGGAGGCAGCGGTGGCGCTGGTGCAGCAGGCGCAGGAGTTCCTGTGGGCGGGCCACGAGGTCGATGCCGTGAGTGCCTCTGTGCTGCCGTTTTCCTCACTCACGCTCATTCTGTCCGCTTCCCCCTCACTGCCGCTCCACGCTCTCCTCTTCTCCCCTAAATCCTTCTCATCCAAGTCGCCTCGCCACCTCAACCCCCAACCCCCCCTCCCTTCCCCCCCCCCCCTCCCGGCCCCCCTTACCTTACGCCCAGGCGAGGCGAGTGCACGACAAGGCACTGGCAGCGCTCACATGGGCGCACGAGGTGGCCGCCTGCTGCGGCCAAACGCTGCCCGCTGCTGCTGCCGCGCCACCTCTCGTCGCCTGCTCCTCCAACCACCCGCTGCTGTCACTGCCGCCCTCCTCTTCACCCGCTGCTGCCGGGCCAAGCCACGCAGCACGAGGGGCGGGCAGCAGCGGCAGCGGAGGGGGCGGGAGGAGGAGGGGGTTGTGTGAGGTGCAGAGGCTGCTGGAGGCGGCCGCCTCGGACGTGCCGTGCATTGAGCCGCACTATAAGACGCTCAAGGTGTGTGCATGGATGCTCAGCGGTGCAGTTGCTGAGGGGCGTGGCCCTGTCAGGCCAGAGCGAGCGAGGTTACACAGATTTTTCTAGAATTCTAGAAAACTCCTAGCAACGATGCTCCCGGCTGCCATGACATCCGTGGTGTTGCTGGCGGACCGTCGACTGAGCGTGACTCTACTGACTGGGTGCTGATCGGTGCAGTTGCTGAGGGGCGTGGCGCTGTCAAGTCAGAGCAAGGTTATTGGCAATGATGCTTCCCTCCTGCCACAATATCTGCTCTGTTGCTGAACAGTAACAAAAGTTGTTGGGCGCCCGTCGACTGGGCATGACTCTATTGAAATGTGTGGTTGTGCATTGCTACCGTCTCCTCAACCCCCCAATCCTCGCCTGCCTGCCTCTTCCTTTGTCCTACACCCTTTTCTCCCCGCCCTGCCCCATCCCCACCCCAGGTGCTGTACCGTGACGCCCTCGCCCTGGACCAGCGCATTCGCCTCGCGCTGCACGCCAAGCCGCCTCGTGAGGTGCGCCTCGCTGCTGTGGAGTGGAGTGGATTCCCGTTATGGGCACACAAGCCCCGCCCTCTTATGTTTCTCACCTTGCTCACTGCTCCCGCTACTCTTGCTTGCGCCGCTCTGCTGCTCCGCTTACTATGTCTGCTGCGACATTTGATTGCACAGTCGTCTTAACCCCCACCCCGTGCACCATCTAGGTACAGTGCATGCACCATCTAGGTACAGTGCATGCACCATCTAGGTACAGTGCATGCACCATCTAGGTACAGTGCATGCACCATCTAGGTACAGTGCATGCACCATCCTCACTGCACCTGACTCCGTGCTCCCACACCCCCATCAGGCGAGGGAGCTGCAGTCATTGCAAGAAGAGGCGGCAGCAGGCACGGTGGACATCCCTGCTGCCGCTAAGCTCAAAGACGCTCTCCTCGCCGCCCAGGTATACTCCTGAAAACGGCAAGTGTGTGTATGTTTCTCACATCTATACACTACTCCGGTGACGAGGCTCATGTAACAGTGACTCTTCTCGTACTATGTTCTGCAACCTTTCCAAAACACCATAAATAGTCGAGAGGCATTTGGAATCTCTAGTACAACCCTCTGTTGCTACCGTGGCCTAAAACGCCATCGCAGCACATGTCTTGATGGCCCCCATCGTTTCGCCAATGAGAGACCCATTCACTGGTGGCACTACTTCCTCTGGCTCTCCTAATTGCTCTTCTCGCGCCCCTCCCTCCCTCTCCTTCCCCCTCTGCCTTCCCCCCGTCCCTCTCCCCTCTCCCTCCCCCACTCACCACCCCGCATGCGCCCGTGCCACCAGCACTGGGTGGAGGCGGTGCAGAGGGCGGTGCCGCGGGGGAAGCCGCCTCGAGCAGCCGCACTCGCCGCTCTGCCCGACCTGCACTCCCTCGCCATGCTGCACTCGCAGGTGCTGCCTTGCCCAATCGCTCCAGCTTACTATGCTTGTGTGCCTGTCCTGTCCAGTGTGCTCGAAAATGCCCGTTGCAGTGCGCACAACCCTCATCTCTCCAACCTCCCTCACACACCGCCCCTCTTTCTTCTCCTCTCATCTCTCTCCCCCATGTCCCATTCTTCTCTTCTCCCCTCGTCCTCCTCTCTGTGCGCGTGCCCGACTCCGGTGCGTGCCGCCGTGTGCTGTCGTCCGTCAGGGCGAGCGCCTGCGAGTGCTCGTGGCGGAGCACGAGGTGGTGGCGGCGCTGCTGCTGGCCGCCAGGCACATGGACGCGCGCGCTCATGCGCTGCTGCTCTCCTCGCCCACCCTTCAGGTGCTGCCGCCCCCGGGTGCTGCCATGCCCATTTTCCACTCTTCACCTTCCCACCCTGCCATGCCCACCCCCCCGCCACACAATATCCATCCTGTGCTGCTTTCACTCCTTTCGTGCCGCCACTCACTGCTGCTTCTCCCTGTTAGATTATACTCTTCTGTATCCTGCATTGATCCTATAAACCCTAGGATAGAGATAGGCACCCAAACTAGTGCACAACTAGGGTTAACCCTAGTTGGGGGTTGGAACCCAACCTTGGTCCAATTATTGGCCCCCAAGGTTGGGTTGGGAGATTATTGCCCCCCCCCCGCCACAATTATCCAACCCGACTTACTGGTGGGGGCCAGTAATGTTGGCAACGTACTCCACCAACCCCCCCCCCCCCCCCCCCCCCCCCCCTCCCCCCCCCCTCTTTCCTAGCTCCAACTATGTATACCCTTGTGATTCCTAATCAGATTAACGGTTCAATTCTAACACTCCCTGCATTTTTCACCCCGCCGCATTGCCCAAACCTTCTCCCCTTGCCCTAAACCCTCTATCTATTTCATCCCATTTTCCCCCTTCTCCTCCCTCCCCTCAGGACATGGAAGCGCCGTTGTAGGAGGTGTGGGGGTTGGCAGAGGGGCTGCCAGCAAGTGACTTGACTGCTAAGTTTATTCAAATGTCCCTGTATCTGTTCTCACTCCGTTCCCTCCCCTGCGTCTCCCATCCCCCTCTCCCCCCCTCCTTCCCACCTCGGGACATGGAAGCGCTGTTGCAGGAGGCAAGGGGGGTGGCGGTGCGGACGCCAGTGAGGGGACTTGTGTGTTGTCTCAAAAGCCGCTGTGTCTTTCTTCCCTTCTCAACCCCTCCACCCCACCCAACCCCTCCCTCTTCCGCATCTCCCATCCACTGCTCCTTCCCCCCCCAGGACATGGAAGCGCTGTTACAGGAGGCGAGGGGCGTGGCGGTGCGGCTGCCAGCGGTGGCGCAGCTGCAGGCCCGGCGGGACGAGGCACGGCGCTGGGGAGAGAGGGCACGCGCGCTGCTGGCGGCACTGGGGGGCAAGGATGGGGGGAGGGGCAAGCAGGCACACAAGCAGGGGAAAAAAGGAGGGCAGGGGCAAGAGGAGGGGCAGGGGCATGCAGGAGCAGCTAGTGTGGCAAGCAGCAAGTGTGGCCCGGGCAGCCCTCCCCCCTTCAGCCTCTCTCCCCCTTCTGCTCCCCCCACCACACCTGCTCCTGCCACCCCGCTGCCTGTCACTCGCACCACGGCTGCTGCTGCTGCCTCTCCAGCAACCCCTCCTCCCACCGCTGCTGCCCGCACTCCCTCTTCCCACCACCCTGCATCCATCCCCACTCCGTCTGCCACAGCCCCTGCTGCGCTCACAGCTTCTGCCACTGCCGCCACCCCTCTTGCTGCCCCTTGCCCTGCCGCTGTCCAACCTACTCCGCTTCACCCGTCGCCTTCCACCGCTGTCCCACTTGCCGCTGTCACACCCGCCACTGTCACACCCGCCACTGTTACACCCGCCACTGTCACACCCGCCACTGTCACACCCGCCACTGTCACACCCGCCACTGTCACACCCGCCACTGTCACACCCGCCACTGTCACACCCGCGTCAGGCAGGCAGAGGGGGTGGAAGGAGGAGCTGGAAGCACTGGTGGAGGCCGGCATGCTCATGCACGTCACTCGTGAGTGGGGTGGATGGTGGAAGGGTGGGTGAATGCTGCGGAGAGGGACTGTGAGCATCATCACGAGCATCATCAGCAGCATTATCACCTTTTTTGTGAGCAACAAAAGCGTAGTCACCATTCCCCTCCTCCCCCTCGCTCCTCCCTTTCCCCACACACCCCTCTCCCTCCACCCCGTGCGTTTCGGCAGTGGGCGAGATGGAGGCGGTGCAGCAGCAGCTGCAGCGAGTGCAGTGGGAGGAGGCTGCGGAGGGGGCGCTCATGCGCCGCGCCTCACTGGACGAGCTGCTGGCACTGCAAGCTCAGGGCGAGAGGTGAGCGTGTGGGAGAGCGAGGAGAGTGGGAGAAGTAAGAGGTTAGGCAACAGCAGGAGAGTGAGGGAGGAAGAGGTGAGAGAGGGGGAGGTGTGTAAAAGAAGAGGTGGGAGCGGGGGAAGAACCCGTGCCACACAGGGCGTGGGATTTGCGTTTCAGCAAATTCTCATTCCCCTCTCTCTGGTCTGCCTGCTAATGGCCCTCAGTAGCCCTGCCATGCCATGCCATGCCATGCCATGCCATGCATACACTCTACCAGCTGCCCCTGCCATGCATCATACTCCCTCCTGCCTCTCCCACCCGTCCCACTTGTCCCACACCTGCACTCCTCCCGCCTCCTGCACTCACATCACATCACACCCGCAGGCTGCCCACGGGCAGTGCAGTGGTGGCGCGCGTGCAAGTGGTGGTGGCGGCAGGCAGCGACTGGCAGGCCAGGGCGCAGAGGGCGCTGCAGGAGGGGTGCAGCCTGGAGGAGGGCGAGGCGATGAGCAGGTGAGAGAGGGGGGGAGAGGCGAGGGTGTTTGACGTTCGTTGGGGGAGATGAGACGGGCCGTTGTGATAAGAGGTATTGCTGCAGTGAAGTGCATTTCAGTCCACATCCATGCCATGCCATCATGTCCATCTTGCATTTTTGCGAGTGAGCTAGCCACACTCTGTCCTTCCCATCCCCCCTCTCCACCAATGCCCTCCAACCTCGGTCACCTTTTGTCCGACCCGCCTCCTCTCCTCTCGCTTCCACCAGGGAGGCGGAGACCATCCCAGCATCGCTGGCAGGCCATGCACAGCTGATGTCAGCGCTGGCGTCAGCAAGGGAAGCAGCAGGTTGGGCCGACCAGCTGCTTCTGACTGTGCGCCGCGCTGCTGCCACTGCTGCTGCGGGTGCTGCTGTGGGTGGTGCTGATGCTGATGCTGGTGCTGGTGCTGGTGCTGGTACTGGTGTTGCCACCCCTGGTGGAGGGAAGGAGAGAGGCAGTGGAGGGAGGTGGAAGCGGAGGAGGAGGGGGCGAGGGGAGGGTGAGGGAGTGGGGGTGCAGGAGGGCGTGGATGCTCGTGTGACAGTGGGAGAGATCATGGTATGTGGGTAGCGTGGGGCAGCATTATGGGGCAGTATGGTGGGGGAGGGTGGTACGGCAGTGTGGTGAAGCAGCGTGGTGGGCTAGGAGGGTGGTGGGACAATCCGTTGAGTTGAGGGGCGTATGCATCCTCCTCAAGAAATCTTCCGCCTGCTGCCCTGCGCACACTGCACTGCACTGCATGGCGCCATGCTCCTACGTTTGGTCCTATGACAAGTGCAACCTGTCCTTACTCTAGTCCGCCTGCTCTGACCCTCCCCCTCCTCTTTCTCCCTCCCTTTTCTTCCCCATCTCTGCCTCTCTCCACCCTGCTCATTCCTTCTCCTCACGTCCCTCTCCTCTCCTTCTCTCCTTTACCCGTCCCTCCTCCCTGCCTCCCCCTACCCCAATCACACCAGGCCATGCACGCGGCCCTCACAGCGCTGCCTGTGCGTGCACCACAGGCAGCTCAGCTCGCCGCGCTGCTCTCCTCGCTCACCGCCTGGCGACTCGCTGCCTCCCACGCCCTCCACTCTGCCGTCTGCTTGCTCTCACCGCCCACCACTCACACACTGCCCACCACTCACACACCGCCCACCACTCACACACTGCCCACCACTCACACACCGCCCACCACTCACACACCGCCCACAGTCACCACAGCACCACCCACCCAAGCCACCCCAGCTGCAGTGCCCATCACCCCCAAATCAGGCACCATCCTGGTTGACTCAAGTTCCCCTCTGCTCGCATCAGCAGCACCATCGCCTGCAGGCAAGCCCCCTCCGGTACAGGTAGTGCCGTCATCATCATCATCATCAGCATCATCAGTTGCAGCCAGTGCAGGCGAGGCCCCCTGGGTAGTGCCGGCAGCAGCAGCAAGCGCCAGCGTGGGCGAGCTGGCGTCGCTGCTCACCCAGGGGGCAGCGGTGGGCGTGGCGGTGCCCGAGCTGCCTGCTGTGCGCGCGCTGCTGCAGCGCCTGCACTGGGAGGTCGCCGCCCATGCCCTGCTGTCTGCCACAGTGCATGATGCGGTGCAGAGTGGTGGTGTGGCGCAGGACAGTGCGGTGCAGTGTGGTGGTGAGAGGCGAGGCAAGCCCAGCATGGAGGAGGTGGAGGCACTGGTGGCGGCTTACCCACTCACTGATGCGCTCGCCCACCCTCCACCCCACCCAACACGATCAGCACCACCACTACCATCAGCAGCTCCATCCGAGGGCCCTGCTGAGCCTGCTGCATCCGCTCCCTCTCCCCCCCCCTCGGCGCGCCTCTCCGTGCTGGGCTCCGCTCTGACGGACGCACGGCAGTGGGTGCAGGAGGCGAATGAGATGCTGACACGTGGACCTGCCAGCTGTGAGGTGCAGGAGTTGGAGGCGATGGTGGCACGTGGCACGGTGAGAGTCTGAGAGATGAAGGTAGGGGTGCGGGGTGAGGGGTGAAGAGAGGCCAGGGGATGGTGGGTTGGGCGCTGGGATGAATGTGAGTCATGTGCGTGTGCACTGTCTGTCTGTAGTACGCTGGTTCCTTTGATCTGAGTACAGCGCCCTTGTACCATCCATCCATGTGAGCTAGCAACAGCTTGAGGCACCTCTGCTGAAGCTGTTGTAGCCACTGGTGGCCCCACCCGTGTGCCCTCCCGTCTGTTGCCTCTCTTTCCCCACGCCCCTCTACGGCAATCCGTCTTGCTGTGTGTGCAGGTCCTGCAGGTGTGTGTGCGCGACAAGTGCCACCAGCTCAGCACCGTCATCGCCTCCCACAGGTCAGCGCCTGCACCTGCCCATCCCGACGCTCTTCTCTTATCGTGCTGCAATGCTGGGGTTCAGGGAGTGGCCACCACTGATTCTTCCTGTGGCCTCAGTCCCTGTGATGCTGCCCGCTGATGCGCTCGCCACTGTGCCTTCCACTCCTAGTGCACACACACATCCCCTTGTGTTGTGCGCACCTCCCTCCACGCATGTGCCCCACCCACCAGGGAGTGGGTCAGCGAGGTGCAGCAACTGCTCGCCCCACGCCACCCTGCGCCCGCCTCGCCACCGCCGCTGCCACCTGCACCTGTCACCACACTTGCGCGCCTCAAGAGCCTCCAGGTATGCTGCACCTTCCATTCCACTCACCTCCTAAAATGCAGTGTGCTTCCTACCTTCCCTCCCTTCCCTCCCTTCCCTCCCTTCCCTCCCTTCCCTCCCTTCCCTCCCTTCCCTCCCTTCCCTCCCTTCCCTCCCTTCCCTCCCTTCCCTCCCTTCCCTCCCTTCCCTCCCTTCCCTCCCTTCCCTCCCTTCCCTCCCTTCCCTCCCTTCCCTCCCTTCCCTCCCTTCCCTCCCTTCCCTCCCTTCCCTCCCTTCCCTCCCTTCCCTCCCTTCCCTACCTTCCCTCCCTTCCCTCCCTTCCCTCCCTTCCCTCCCTTCCCTCCCTTCCCTCCCTTCCCTCCCTTCCCTACCTTCCCTCCCTTCCCTCCCTTCCCTCCCTTCCCTCCCTTCCCTCCCTTCCCTCCCTTCCCTCCCTTCCCTCCCTTCCCTCCCTTCCCTCCCTTCCCTCCCTTCCCTCCCTTCCCTCCCTTCCCTCCCTTCCCTCCCTTCCCTCCCTTCCCTCCCTTCCCTCCCTTCCCTCCCTTCCCTCGCTTCCTTGCCTCCCTCCCTCCAACCCAACGTGTGCCGTCCTCCACCCTTACCCCATCTCTTCTCTCCATCGTCCATCTGATCCGCTCGGTCCAGCTCGCCCAATCAGCAGCTGCCATCTCCTTTCCTCATCATTAACCCCCAACCATTCCACACCTCCTTGTCTTCCCCTGCGGCCCAACTATTCTGACACCAGGCGCGGGGCAGCAGCAACGTGGTGGCGAGCAGGGAGGCCCGCCAGGTGCAGCGCGCAGTGGCAGCGCTAGGCGAGTGGCTCGCTGCCTGCTCTGCCGCTCTCCATGGGGGCACTGGCTGTGGCGAGGGGGTCAGTGGGGGAGGCGAGGCGGCACAGGAGGGGAGCAAAGGAGCACGAGAGGAGGGCAAAGTGGCACAGGAGAGGGGCAAGGGGCGTGTGTGTGAAGAAGAGGTGGTGCGGAAGCTGAAGCACATGCACAGCAGCGTGCAGGCTGCCCTGCATCGCATCTCCTCCCTGGCCCGGCGCACCGCTGCCCTCTCACACCTCACGGCCCTGCCAGCACAGCCGGCTCAAACCCCGTCAGCATCAGCCACTGCCCCTCCTCCAACTTTGCACACATGCCAGTCTCCGCATCTCAACCCCCCTCAGCAGCCATCAGGTGTGGCGGTGGCAGCAGCAGTGCAAGGGGAGCCAGGGTCACCAGAGGTTCCAGCGCCTGCTGTCGCTGCTCCTGCTCCTGCTGCTGCCGTTGCTGGAAGCGTCTCCTCGTCTGAAGCCGTGTGCTGGTGTGCGCTGCTGCATGGTGCGCATCCTGCCTCTGCTGCCGCTGCTGCCTGCCCTGGCGGCAGGGACGGGCAGGCGGGAGGAGGCGGCGGGGAGGTGCGAGTGCGTGGAAAGCGCAGCGGTGGGAGGAGAGCCGCTGCGGCTGTGAGCGGTGCTGTGGGGCGAGAGAGTGGTGGCAGTGGCGTGGGGATGTCAGGGGAGAAGAGGGAAGATAAGGGAGAAGTAAGAGGCGAGAGGGAAGGGGATATGGGAGCAGTGCGTTTGCAAAAGGGCGATGAAAAGGAGGAGGAGCACAGGCTAGTGAATGGATGTGGGATGAAGGGCGAACACATGAAGGATGCACTCACTTGCGGCGGGTGCAGCATGAGGTATGTGCAGCATGAGGTATGTGCAGCATGAGGTATGTGCAGCATGAGGTATGTGCAGCATGAGGTATGTGCAGCATGAGGTATTTGGAGCATGAGGTATTTGGAGCATGAGGTATGTGCATCTTATTATAAAGCATACTTCCCACGTTTTTGCTGCACTGTTGCTCCACTGCGAGCCTGCTGCTATCTTTCTCAGCATAGGCCTGCTGCTCTACCCATTCCCCTCTATTGTGTGTGCCTTCCCTCCAATCCCCTCCCCCTGCCTGCCACGCGCTGCACCCTCTCAGATTCCACGCTGACTGTCTCGCATACTTACATGCTGCCGCCTCCTCCGCCTCTCAAGACCAGCAGCACCAGGAGAAGCCTCAGGAGGGGAAGCGAGAGGAGGAAGGGCAGCAGCAGCCAATGGCGGAGCACAGTGTTGGGGCGGGTGAGGTGGCAGCTCCACCAGGTGCAGACAGAGCCAGCCACCCACAGCCGCAGCAGGGCCAACGGCTGGAGCAGAGTCCCGAGCAACAGCAGCTGTTCCCTCAGCAGCAGCAGCAACAACAAGAGCAGGAGGGTCCCTTCACATGCCCGTTCTGCTCCTCCCTCGCCTCAGCAGCCGTCACACCTGCCGTCTCAGCGTTGTTCCAAGTACGACCCGCCGCCCCACCCCACCACTCCTGCTGAAATGCCACCACAGGAGCACGCTTGCACGTCCCTCTTCCACCTGCACGTCCCTCTTCCACCTGCACATGCATCCGCCTCACTTGCCACCAGCAGCGCGAGTGCATGCTCCCTCCACTCGCTCCCTCCACTCGCTCCCTCCACTCGCTCCCTCCACTCGCTCCCTCCACTCGCTCCCTCCACTCGCTCCCTCCACTCGCTCCCTCCACTCGCTCCCTCCACTCGCTCCCTCCACTCGCTCCCTCCACTCGCTCCCTCCACTCGCTCCCTCCACTCGCTCCTCTCCATGCTTCTCCCTGCCCGCTCTCACCCCCACCCCCCCCACCCCCACCCCCACCCCTCCTCCCTCCCCCTCCCCTTCGTCTGTCCCTCTCTCCCTCCTGCTGTGCAGCCTCGTCGCGTGCCCCGCGTGTCGCTGCGGTGCTTGGAGGGCCTGCTCTCGCGCGCTCTCCCTCTCCACCCCAGGTACCGCTCTCGCTCATCCAAACGTGTACACATGCACGCATGTGCACATGCTTGCACGCACATGGCATTCACGCATTGCACAGATGTATGCTCGTGCCCACGCCACCACACACGCATTGCACCCGGTTTGCCATGCACACACTCTCTCGGCCAAACGAACCCCAGTTTCTCTCGACTCACGGCAGGGTGCACATTTCAGCCAGCCTGCTTCTTGCATCGTGCGGCATGTCCCCCCCTGTTCGCTCTCTCACTCTCTGCTCGCCCCCACCAGGATCGCAGCCGTGCACAGCTTGGAGCAACTCGTCCAATCAGCAACGCGTTGCTGTCACTTGCTGACATCAGCGCTCTCCACCACGCTGTCCTTGCCACGTCATGCCGAACCCCTGCCTCCCTCCATACTCAGCTGTCTGCTTCAGGTGAATTTTCAGCATTGTTTCGGGTTATTGCTGACCCTTTGTCTCTGGTAGGCATTTATCTGTATAATTCAAGCAGGCCTTTGATATCATCTCCTGCCATTTGTCAAATCTTTGTTTGCGATCAGGCCTTCATCCTCTCACTCTCCGACCCCCAACCCGCATCCCATCTGCAGGTGGCCGCGTGTCTTCCACTCGACATGCCACTTGCCTCTCCGCCATCGCTCTCCTCCACTGCCCCTGCTGCCACACCAGCGGCACCAGATTCAATAGCAGCGCCAGCAGCAGAGCCTCTTGCCTCGTGGCTGCTGCACGTGAATGCACTTCTCTCACCGCCCACGTCCCAGCAGCAGCAGCAGCAGCTTCTGGTGCAAGGGGACCACACGAAGCATGTCACCGGCACTGCAGCTGCTGCCGCGGCAGTGATTGTGGGAGTGGTGGCTGGAGGGCAAGAGGAGGTGCGGCAGTCGGCAGGGCAGAGCGCCAAGGATGGTGGAGGAGGGCCAACAGTGCCGACAGTGCCAGTGGCAGCGGCGGTGTCAGAGGCAGGGACAGGCTGCTCTGTTGAGGCAGGGACAGGCTGCTCTGTTGAGGCAGGGACAGGCTGCTCTGTTGAGGCGGGCGGCACGCTGGCGGTGATGCAGAGGGCAGTGGCCGCCCACTGCTGGAGGGCTGCCACGTGTAGCACTCTCATTGGCCGCCCACGGCCCCGACCTTCCACCCTGGCACAGCTGGTGCAGATGGTGAGATAGTGGCTTATACAAACAGAATTGCACTTACGGCGACACTGTGTAACGAGCAGATCTTAGTGTCTCCTACCCCACTTCTCTTGTCTTTCCGTTGCTCTCTTCGCTCCATTATACTCTTTGTGTGCATGCCAAGAGTCTTTTTCTGTCCCACCTTCTTCCATCTCTCAATCCTCCCCCTCCCCTCCCCTGTCCCTGTCCTCCAGGGCTCGCACACAGTGGGCGCTGCTGATGCCATCCTCGGGGAAGCCACACGGCGACACGTGGCAGCTTCTGAGTGGCTGTCTCGCTTTGCCAGGGCACACTCATCACAGCCACAGCTGTCAGAGCGCCAGGCCGCCCAGCGTCTGTCACATCTGCGCGCGCTCATCAGCCACGCCTCTGCCCTGCCTGTGGACCTGCGCCCAGAGCTCAAGGTGAGAAGCGAACCTGCTGCTGTCGTCATGGAGAATGCTGATCAAGTGCTGCTGACTATTCACCTCTTGCTGACTATTCACCTCTTGCTGCATTCACCTTATCTCCCTTCCCTGTCCCTCCTCTCCCTGCCACCCCGCGCCACCATCAGAGCCTGCGCCGCGCTGTGGCCCGCCTGGCATCGCGCCTCAAGGCCGATACCGCTGCAACTACTCCTCCTGCCACTCAATCGCCTCCTCCCACCGCACCTGCTCTTGCACCACCCACTGCACCACCCACTGCATCGCTGCTCACCGCACCCTCTCCCGCATGCACAGCGAGGCCTCTGGCTGTAGCAAAAACTGTAGCGCCGTCAGGCAAAGCAGCTGCGACAGCACGTGGGGGAATCGGCACCGCAGGTGCTGCCTCGGAACTGAAGGCGTCCGGGCTGAAAGGCTCTCGCAGTGCCAAGCGGAAGCTGGCAGTGGCTGTTGGGGGTGCAGCAGAAGCGAGTGTGAGTGTGGCTCCCAGGGCTGCATGCAGTGTGGCGACCAGTGGTACTGCCTCCGCTGCCACCGCTGTCGCTGTTGCTACCGCTGCCACAGTTGCCTCAGCTGGCGCTGGTGCCACGGCCGCAGCCACCAAGGGCAAGAGGAGCCCTCGCGCCCTGCACGCAGCGGCCCTGCACGCAGCGGCCCTGCAAGGAGGCAGCTGCATGGCCGTGCCTGCTTGTGCTACAACCTGCCCCCGTGGCCCGACTGTAACATACGAGCCTGCCCCCGCCTCCTGCATCGCCTCACCGCTTCTGCCTGCCTGCTCCTCCCTTCCTCAACCCACCGATCCATCCCGCATGGCCTCTCGCCCTCACTCCCCTTCACTCCCTGCCCCCCCGGCCACCTCCCCTGCTGCTGCTCCTCTGCCTGCACCGCTGGCATCGCCAGCTGCCTGCCCGCCTGCCCCAGGGGGTGAGGCAGGGGCAGGCGTGAGAGTGAGTGGGAAGAGGAGCAGGTCCGTGAGGAAGAGGAGGAGAGAGGGAGGGGAGGGGAGTGGTGGCGGAGGCGGTGAGGTGAGGGCGGGAGACAGCAGCGATGGCGATGGGGATGGCTGTGCTGGCAGTGCGGGAAGTGCTGGTGGGGTGCAGCGCAGCAAGGCAGCAGCAGAAGAACAAGCTGCTGTGCTGCTATCAGCTGAGTTAGCCGCCGTCGCTGCAGCAGCAGCAGCAGCAAGCACAGCAGGAAGCAATGGAGTAACCGCAACAGGATCCACACGAACAACCACAGCAAGCATACGAGCAACAGCAAGAGCGCCTCAAGATGATACACTCGTGAGCCGTGGAGACACATCACAGGTATCCTGCCCTGCCACCAAAGCTACCACCACAGCTATTACCACAGCTGCCACCACAGCTACCACCACAGCTATTACCACAGCTGCCACCACGGCTGCCACCACAGGTACCACCACAAGTGCCACCGCCGGTACCAGTGCACACCGCATCTCCAAACTCTCAACATTGCCCCTCAAGCAGCCCGCTCTCTCCTTCCCGGTCCTCAAGAAGCGGCGCAGCGACCGACCCAAGGCAGCTGCTGTCAGCACGGCCGAGCCACCTTCAGCTCTTGCTGCCACACACCCTCCTGCTCCTCCCAACGCACCTGCTCACTGCGCTGTTGGCTCCACTGCTGCAGCAGCTGCTGCTGGCGCAGCAGCTGGCACTGCTGCATGCTCTGTTGGTACCACTGTCCCCTCTACTGGTATGACTGCCAGCTCGACCGCCAAGGTTGCCAGCTCAGCAGCCAAGGTTGCCAGCTCAGCAGCCAACGTTGCTAGCTCAGCAGAAAAGGCTTGCTGCCTAGAAGGGAAGGGCGGTGAGGGTCAGAGGAGGAAAGGCAGGGGAGATAGCCAAGATAAGAGAAGTGGAGACAGGGTGCGGGCGATTGAGAGTGCCATGCCAGGCACACGCACAGCAGGCCAGGGGAAGATGAGCCCTCGGCCACATGAAAGAGCAACAGCAGCGGCAGCAGAGGGTGTGACAGTTGGCAGTGCGTGGCAGCATGGCAGAGCGAGTGAGAGTGAGAGTTTGGGGCGAGAGGGTGCAGCAGGTGGTGCAGAAGGTGGGAGCAGGGGAGGCGGGGTGGTGGAGGGAGGGGCGGGTGGAGGAAGGCGGTCGGTGCGCAGCACAGCAGGCCGGCACCCTGGCTTTGATGGCTTCCTGCTGCTGCCCCGCATCCGATGATCCCAAGATGACGGCATGTTTGGCATGGAGTGCGTGGCGTGGCGCAGCGTGGCGTGCACACAGCGGTGCCAGAGTTGCATTCACAAGCAGATGTGTGATTGATGGTATGGCTACTGCAGGCCGTGCACATGCAGACTGACTAACCTTGTTACGGCGAGGCTGGAAGCACAGGATGGCTGGGCAGGCAGTGAAAGAAGGCTTCAAGCCACGCATGTGCAACGGAGGAGAGGGAGGCGGTGGTAGTGTCCTTGGCTGCTCGAAGGGAAAGAAATGTTGCTGGTGGAAGGGCTGCAGAAAGGGTTAAACAGGTGCGATTGGTTGATGGTAAAGGTGAGAGAGGCCAGCAACAGGAGGTGTGGGGATGGGGGATGTTGCTCATCTGCCTCTCTTGATGTGGGTGGTGGCACGCTCCAAGGTCAACTTTTCTGATTGTTTGATTTGACACTAACCCACTCATTTCTCCATGCACCTAGTGAGTCATGACACTACAAACCCTGGGGCTGCTTGTTCAGGCGGCGTGTGTGTGTGTGCTCTTACTAAAAGTGACTATATTTAGGGTGCATTCCTGTGGAGACACTTTTGTCTCAATCCTTTTGTGACGTGTAAAAACAGCATAAAACGTACAATGTCACAAACGCGAGTCGCCCTTGTGCGACCATTACCGTATTCCCCGTAATTGTATACCCCCAGGTAGCTTGTGCGGGGTGGGTGTTATAATCGACCTCGTTTGTACTATACCCCCCCTTTTGGGGTGATTTTCTATAACACCCCCCTTTTCTTATAGATTCCTATTATAGTTGTGATCGAGTCAGATTCCTTACGGGAGGATATCGCGAGAATCGCTCCCTAGAAGAAATTTCGCATGTACTTTCAGTTAGAATCTGCCGAGATTTCCCCCCTCCCACAATCTCGCTGTCGCCACGCTAGCGAATCTTCCACTGCAAGTGGTCCAAGAGGTGAAGTGGCCCAAGTGGCCCACGATATCCTCGTAATCGGTTTTGCGGCATTGATCAACAATCTTGAAGTCAAGTCAGACCCCTGATTTTATTTCACATCTTTTCTGCTTGATAAAAATTATACCATATAATAAGACCCGGGTATTATGCAGGATTTTCCTTTGAGGAGACCCCCCCCCCCCCCCCCATTTTTTTCCAGTGGTTCTCATAATACCCTAGGGTGTTTTATCCGGGAGAATACGGTACTGTATTTTTCATTGGTCAGCGTGAAACGCGCTGACGTCGCGGACGAGTTGCATATTGACCCATCACTGACAACGAGTCGTACGCGGTTCGAAATGTCAATGCACCTGGACGCCCCACGATGCCTATCTCGCGCGGGAAAAAAATCCGCTCGTCAAAACCCCACCCGAGCCAGGTGTTTGAAGAAACAGGTGTACAGTCATGTTTGAAATCCAATCAAATGCGCAGAGCTGTAAATTTCGCCTGGTCGCCCAGTTTCGTGATACATTCAATTTTTGTGACGCGAGATTGCAAAAATGTTTAGACGCGACTCGGGAAAAAGGGGATTGAGACACAAGTGTCTCCACAGGACTGTACCCTTACTAAAGAATCACGAATAGGTTTGCTGTACCGTATGGCCCCGCCCGGATATAAGCCCTGGCCTATGTTAGGCGCATGCAGGGCCTCAGATTCGTTTTGGCGTAGGCTGACTGGTCAACCTTAGGAATGAGTTCATGGCTGAGCGGTCAGTGGAGTTGTTAAAAAAAAAAACTGATTTTTCAGGCTGTATAGGAGAAAAAAAGCTGAACGATCAGCGTCATTTTGCGGTAAATTCTGAACCACTCATAGCAAGCAAGACAAACAATTAACTATCCAGATCATCATCATCCTCATCATCCTCTTCATCCTCTTCATCCTCACTATCACTAGAGCCTACAGCTTCTACAGCATGGGGTTCATCTACTTCCATAGCTGTCGCTCTCCCCTTTTTGCTGGTTTCCCCTGGGGTGGAAATTGGGGCATTAGAAAATGGCTTCCTCTTCTTGTAGCTTCTCCAGATCTCGACCACCTCGTCGAACCGTGGCTCGTACGGCATCAGAGACATGCACATCAAGTCTCCCAGCCTTGCATCTTTGAGGCTGCTCCGCTGCCAAGTCTTGATCACGTTCTGGCGAGAGAAGCCCCTTTCGCACTCCACAATGCTTAGGGCAATCACCGCCACGGCTACCCACAATAGCACCAGGTTGGGGTAACTCTCCCGCCAGTCAGGAGTCTTCAAAATCGCGGTGAGGCCATCGTGGAAAGACCTCTCCCCCTTCGGTGCAGAGGCACGGACGGAGCAGAACAGTCGCAGCTCTTTGTGGGCCTGCAGCTTCTTGATACCTGGCATGGCAACAACCCAAGTGGAGGGGGAGGAAACAATGCAAGACGAGGCTTAGTGATGACTTAAGCAAACGGGAAGGAGGTGTATTGGTAGTAAAGAGAAACAATACGATGGCATTGAAACAAACAGAAAACCATAACACAACTCCACCTGGCAGTATGTCTTCTGCCTGCTCTGCCTTGAACAGCGTCACTAGCGAATGCAGCCACTCAACGCATCGTGCGTGACGCTCCAACTTGCTCTTCGGCCACTCATCCGGCAGGAACAGTCGGACTCCCGACAACGAGTCCAAGTCACTCAGCCGACTCTCCAGGCGTCGTGATCATAGGGGCCTTCGTAGCCTTTGACCTTGTCCTCATGGAGCGTGAACTTGAATGTTGTTGGTCGCCCATCGGAGTCGGGCCCCTCCACTGTCACTTCACGGTCCTTTCCGGGGCCGTAACGCTCGATGAAGGGCGACAGCCAGCGGCTGAAGCCTCCGCCAAAGTCGTCCCCACAGTCCACATATCGGCTCTCGATATGTGTCGTCATGCGCTTGATCTGACCGTGCAGTGAGACAAGGTCCAGCTGCAGGCATCGGTCAGGAAAGGAAGAATGTCAGCCACGTGTACCAACAAGTAATAAAAGGCGGAGGCAGAGAAGTACACACTCAAACATTTACCTGGCGCTGTTTGAATGTCTTGTTCAGGATGTTCAACTGCTCAAGACCATCAGCAAGGAAATACATGAAGAAGTGGAAACGGTAGGAAGTGGCAAGCAAATACATGGCGGAATGAAACTCCTGCAGGAACACGATGACAGTAGGCCACACTGCCAGGATGCGAAGCAACGCATCCCCCCGAGAGAGCCACCGGACGTGATGTATCCCCTGGACTTCCAGGCTGGTCTCGGTGAAGAGCTCGTGGAGGTCCATGAAGCGCTGGTGTTTCGGGCCGGAACGGCCCAGCAGGTCCGACACCACATGGATTAGGTTGTCTACCATGTTGAAGACTGGTAGACCGCATCCTTAGCGGCTAGGGCTTCCCTGCATTAGACGTAATATGAAGAATCAGTACACCGAACAAGAAAAAAAAGAATTAACGCTGTGAATTCAAAGCGGCACTAACCTGTGGGCGATGCAGTGACACGAGACGAGGTGGGGAATCCGCTCTCGCAGGCGAACCACCAGTCCGGCATTACTTCCCATCATCACCGACGCACCGTCGGTGCTGATGCCCGAAATCCTCTGCAAGTCAACACCCACGGCCTGCAAGTGAGACAGCAGAAGGCTCAAGAGGGTCGAGGCGTCAGCTTTCTCAACGGTGATCAATTGCATGAACTCTGTCACCACGACAAAATCCCGAACGAAGGTGGCGTAAAGAATAAGATGCTTCCCCCGGACGCGGTCTGTGCTTTCGTCGATGGCGATGCCGATGAAGGGGCTTGTGAGGATATGCTCCAGCTGGGTCGTCTGTAGCCAGGTTGCCAGTGACTGCGTCAGTTCGCCGTAGCCGTACCTGCCAGAATACAAGGCATACATCATTAGTGACTCCGCGTCTGTATGTAAAACAAAGTAAACAGCAACGGTTATTACCACTCACGTGGTATAGTACGTCCCATAGCCTTTCTTAGGGAAACCTTGAACCCCTTTCCGGGCAAGATACTGCACCAGCTTCACCCATGTCCCCATGGGTGCGTCGCAGTCGCTGATGAACAGAAGCGCCTCAAGCAGTGACGTGACCCGGATCTTCTCTGCATCGACCGCTGCACGATGCTCGTCGATGCGGGGCTGTTTAGACGCGGCAGCAAGCAAGGCCTCTTGCTTCTCCAGTGCCAGCTTGTGTTTTCTCGTCCCGGCGTGCTTGCGAAAGGCCTGCGTCTTGACATCGGTAGCACCTTTGCCTGTCCTGCCACAACGTCCCCTGACACCGGCGTGCTTAGTGCAGAGACTGCATTTGAAAGCAGGCAGACGACGAACAGTTTCGGTAAGTACAAGCCATGGGAAACGCTCAAGCCACTTAGTTTTGTACTTATCCAGTGCCTCGGCATAAATCGCTTCAACAATATCCTGAACGTTGATGTCCAGAGACGGGCGCACGGTGGTTTCGTTGACAACAACTTCCGAGACTAGGACGCTGGATGATGGCTTCCAGAAACTCAGCTTCTGTTGCTTGAGCTTGATTGTGCGCGGTGCTGACGACTTCAACGCCGACGTGCCGACGTGAACGGTGTCGGAAACACCAGGCGGCGCGGGAGGGACGGACCGGATGGAATCCGGGTTGGAATGCACGTTCGGGTTCTCCGCCACTGTAGGAACCGGACCGGGTGCAGTGGGCGCTGGAGGTGGTAGTTGGCGGCCTAAAGATCTTAGCAGAAGATCTAGCCCAGTACGGGCTTCTTCGATGGCGATGCTATCGGCGTCGTCTACATCGGCGTCACCCTCGTCGTTTGAAAGGCCGGCGCCATGGCCAGCCATGGCGGAACAGATACGAGAGCGAGCCGAGCACTGAGAGAGCGTGCCGAGAACTGAGAGAGCATGCCGAGCACTGAGAGAACGTGGCGAGAATTGTCTGGTGCTAGAGGCGAAAGAAGTGAAACCCTAGCGAGGCTGGGTGAGAGACGGGGGACTCCAGCAGCTACCTGGGGTTATGCAAGAAGGAGCTGGTAATGGTGAAGCG